AGATACATTAAATCATTTATATAAATTTTATATATCAATTACATATTCAATTAACAAAAACAAAGATTTTATCAAATACTTACTACCTCGGTGCCTTTGTTTACAGCTCAGCTGTTGTTTGTTTACATTTCACATATAAAACACATGACAAATATTTCAAATTTTGGAAATTTATTTTTAAGGATTACATTAGACATTTTTTGCTTTAAATAAGCTGATTTATTTAAATGAACTTATATATATGACAGCTCTATTAGAGCTATAATGAGCAAAGCCTCCTAAATGAGACAGTGTGAATGTGTTATTAGCAAGCCCAAACTATTAACTTTCTTTTGCATTTTCAACAATTGAAAAACGTGTTAGGAAACCTAGACCTCGTACTATATTCATTGTTTTCCTAATCTTCCAGAAATCATTTGAATAATTTACACATTTGTGGTTATGACAAAATAGCTTTATAAAAGAAGCATTTCTTTAACATTTTAAATACTTTGTTGAACTAAATTTACGTTTAAATTTCACACAAAAATCGCTAAACACAATTATATATCTTTTATTCATTTACTCAGCAAATACACACTTAGCGTCGTAACTAACTTATAGTCAACATTTATTTTCCTAGCAGTGCAATCAATACACAAAAAGACATAACTCCATTGAGTATTAAGTATAATTTTTACATTCTCATTCCTTTTTAAAATGTGTACATTTGGATATTATATTGTGATGTTTCATGATTGATTTTTTAGTGCCCGGTTGTAAGCATATTTTTCTTCGATCGTTTATTTTTGCTCGTTTATTTTATTAAAAAATTATATTACTAAATATTTGATGTCAACAGTTCGAGGTCTCTGAACTTCGATGTAAATCTTTCTTACTAATATACCAAATGGCTTTGACTATTCTCATGACTGTGAATAGATGTAGTAAAAAAAAAAATCATTTTTTAAATTTAATTTGTTTAGAATAAACAAAAAGTGAATGTTTTCATTAAACTTTTTTTTGCATTTATTTAAACATAACATACAACTACATCGATTGTAAAAAAAAAATATTTGTAATAACGAAGTCTGAAATCAACAATATTTTATACATCATAAATCAAATATTGCAATAAACTATAATATTATGGGTGTTTCTATCCACCTCTGCGTATATAGGTATTGTGCCCCAAAGTAAAGGTGCAAATTAATGTTCAAATATTTTTAGTTACCACTTTTGTAATGATAGCAACATTTTTGTAGATCTTGCAATATCACGTCATTTACAGGCCATTGAACTTTCATTTTGTAAGTCTTCAAAAATTAAATATATAAAAGATTAAACAAAGACTAAATAAAAAAAAAAACAAAATAAAAAACTTGTTTACCATCTTGACCAGTTAAGTTTTGTAGTATTTTTTATTGGCATATACTTTCTTTTAAAAAAGATAGTTGGTATTATGTGGCACTTACATATTTGAGAGCAGAAACCCAAAAATTATTTTTAGAATAAATCTCATAAATGCTTGTGGCAAACTTTACGAAAATATACAAAAATAGTCAAAAACACGTTTGCAAATATTTAAAAAGTTTTTCATTTAAGTGTAAATACATTTCCCATACTCTAGCTTTATACCCCAACAAAAATTTATAATAAAAATAAAAACAAAAATACCCAAACATATCTTTGGTTTGTATTTATTTCCATTGAATTTATTGTTTAAATAAATGTTATAATTATTTTTATAAAATAGCGTGACTAAGCTTCACCAAATAACTAGAAACTTAATAAATTAACAGGAAAAAACTTCGTTAATACACGTGATATAAATTAAGTATATTAACATAAATATAAATATACATAACATAAATCGATTTTTTTTCCTAAAGCAATTTTAAAAGTTCTAATTAAAGGCACCCAAAAAAATTGTATAAAATTAGGTTAACCACTAATAATTTTATCGATAAAGTCTTATAAAGTAAACATTTTCACATACGTATACTCGATAAAGTAAAGATTTTCACATACGTATACTCGTATAATATAGAGTTTTGTATATGGTAGACATAAAACTACAGAGTTCAAACTACTTTTTTTTGAATTATTCAGAACGAATTTAAACAACTATATAAGCTTTCAATGATAACAGTTCAGGCCTATACAAATGAAAGGACACCGGAAAGCGAGTTGAAAAAAATTGTTCCTAAATAAGCCTTCTAATTTGAAACTTTGCAATAAACTCTACTAAAATAATTGGTAAGATAGAAATTGGATATAGATGTTGTTTGAAGGACTCATTACCCTTTTCAATATCTTAAATTTCATAAAATATCTTGACATTCAAGAATTATATCTAAATGCATACCTTCCCTATATAACTTTGTTCTTTGATGATAGAAACCTCCAACTATATCACCAACAAGATTTTTAGTCACCCTTTTTCTTCCTAGATTATATAGGCATTCATGACCTCTTAGAGTAAAGTTAAACAAACTATTCTGGATACATACAAAATAATAGGTCCTTTTATTGCGATCTCTTAGCTGTGTGAGACACAGTTGTAGTTGTGAGACCCAACTACATTTTTACACTTAATGAAGACTCTGATATGTTCTGTGATGTACATTCTAATTACATATGAGTCCTATGGTTCCGCCCCATTGAAGTCGCCAGGTTCCCAAACTTTGGCATAGACACTTACATTTTTATTTCTCCCTAATCCCACGCAACCATTCTTTTTCTTGACTACCTAACCCATATATCCGTATTTACATTATATTTATATTTTCTGTAATATAGCTCTCCACGGGTTATGGTTACATACAACTAGAACAACTAATGGTGAGAATTATATATAATATTTGTTAAAAATTTTATATTAATTTAAAAACCAGTGATTTAAAAAAATAGTTGTTGAAAAGACATATCAAGCAAATTTAATTACATAAGAAAATATTACAAATTATTAATAAAAAATTTGGCTGTTTTGAAAAACCTGTAAAAATTATGTATATGACAAAATGGATATATTGCTTATCGATGCAAAAAGTAATTGAGAAAAGTAATTTTTTTCAATTATGCATTTGAGTATAATATTCAAATTAGAATATAATTCTAATGTCTTTAGTGGTTTAGAAAAAATCGATTTTTAACTCTGCCACACTGTGTAATATAGACAGATACTATAAACCTATATTAAGATATATGTAACTGAAAATGTTTTCAGAAGGCAAAAAAAAAGGATTGATGGTGTTAAAAATGACTTAATAAAATTAAACGACAACAATTGAAAAACAGCAGCAAAAAATAGAGATTATTTAAGGCAGATTATCTGATTTACAATTCTTAATGGACTACTAAAGACTATTAGGAAGAAAGAACTTTTTAAAGGACTATTTATGAACTTAATTAGGCCCATGTTATTTAGAGTGTCACGGGCACGTCAAAATCAAACTTATTGTTGATTTCAATGCAAATTAAAAAACTAGGAGTGAGTGAAAAAAACAAATGTCAATTTAAATTCGGTCATGAGAGCCGAGGCTATATGTACCTCGTTATTCAGTTAAAGCCGTCTTGTATGTATGTATATATATTTTCTTTAATGTAAATACAAGCAAAAAGTAAAAAAGTAATAGAAAATTATTAAATTGACAAACTGATTTGACACTCAGACACTCTACATAACATGGGCCTTAGAAGAGGAAGAAATACTTTAGGATTTGTATATAGAAAAATAATAATTGCAAAGAAATAAAATTTTGCTGCAATATATATAATAATTAAATATACAAACCAAATGAATTTCAGGCAATTAATATAACATAATTTAATTATTTTATAGATTTTAGTAAATTAAAATAAAGTATTGAAATAAAGTGTGAGGAATTGTTATAACATTATTTAAATATTAGTGAAAGTTTTTACATAAATTATAAAACAACAATTTAGCTATTAAAGGTACATTAAATCATATATGTTTATACTCGTTAATGTATGTATGTATATTTAAGACAATAAATTTTTTATGTGCTGTGTTAACCTTTTAAAACCTATAAATTTTTATAGTTCTCTTTACTTGTATATTTTTTAAATTATGTAATTAAGTTGAATATATTTAATAAACATTACAGCAAATAACATTATGATTTCTATATGTTATATAAAAATAAATGTAAAAATGAAACCTTCATCGAGTTAAAAAAATAATTAGATATAAAAACTAAATAAAAAATATTATAATAAGGCAGCTGTATGGTTGACTATAAAAATAATTTTTAAAATGTTTTTTAAAATATGTTTTTTTTTACAATTAAATAATAATGGAATTTCAAAGCAACAAGTCGGAAAAATATACAACTTTTTCTTGATTAGCTGCAATATTTTGCATGTATAAAATTAAAACAAAAAAAAAAACACATGCATATGGGCTATATGAAGTGCTTTATTACTTGCTTAAGAATCTGGTTAGTACTGTGTGTATTAAACGTGAGTAAGTAAGTATTCAGAAACTAATTATTGATAAGTAAAAATATTGTTTTCAATTCTTTGCCGAATGCTTATTCAGCTGTTCATTAGCTGATGCTTGCAGTAATTAAAGTTGAAATTAATTGTTATATATTTAAATTTTCTTAATTACTTCTAAACAAATACTCATTAATTTTATTTCTTAATAAATTTAATAAATCAAACAATTTTGTAAAAGGTAAAGGTGTTAATAAAAGAAATGTGTTTCAAGAAATATTCATACATACTCATATCAATAAACTCAATAGGAAAGCATATTGTTACTTTTCAAATTTTTCGATAGATAAGAAAAAACTATAGTCTGCTCGTTTATTAGGTCACAGCTGTTTCAATTAGTTTCATCCGAAACATACTTTTCTTCATTGAATTAAAATTTTAACATCAAATTCAAATGAATTGCTTTGCAGCAATTGTATAAATATTTTAATCTGAATGAATTATTGTCGTACAAATTTTATTTTGATAAGAAAATTTTAAATTACTTATTAGCTTACCGTTTTTTGTCTTTTTTTACTGGTTTCACCCTCCCCACTCATAGTTTGCACTGAAACTCAACTACCGTAATAAACACAAAAACACTCGATATAATACTGAGTACAATAAAGGCAATTAAAAGTTTGCAAAATATTTTTATTCATAAAGACACTTTGTCAAATCACGCCGTTCAATCAGTTTTGATTTTATTAAGCGAACACTGGAAAATGCGGTTCGCAAACAATTGTTTATATTATACCGACTTTCAAGGCATGAGCATAGAAATACATTCTTAATCTCAATGAACATAGTAACTAGTGGTGCTTAAAAAGTTTATCGATAAATACAACTGACCATACTTCAGACAAAATGGGTTGCCAACACTCATATTTAATATTTAACTTATTCAGCAAAATTCCGTTATAACGTATTCAGCCGTGTGCGGATTTGATTAATTTGCGGTAAAATAAATTGAAATTTCCTAGGGATTTTTTGCACTACATTTATGTAAATATTTATTTATTTATTTATTGCACTTATTTATTGTTTTAAGTTAAAAGTTTTCAAATTTATTTATTAATTTATTAAACATCTTGATTAGAAACTTCAACTAAAAACACACGTCTTTTCGGTTTTAGAATAAATATAAGACTCCCTTTATTTTCTATAATGTTTGCTCTTAAATACTAAATTTTACATAGTCTAATAATTAGGTTTAATTAGGTTTTTCTTTTAGGTACAAGGTTAAAGGAAATGTCCCTTAACCTTTTTCTTTGTTACCTTATTTAATTACTTCCTTTTTCTTTAGTTACATTTTACATTTTTAACTAATCTCTGTTATTACATTTCATATTTTAATGTCTAAAAGAACCTTGGTAACAAATATTTTAAGGCTTTGAAAAACCTTTGTTAGAAATTAATTTAATTTACTAAAAATATAAAATAAAATACTAAAATATTAAATAAAATGCTAAAATATTTAATACCCAAATAACTGAATATGTTACTTAGGTAATTAGCGCGCAGACACATGTTCAAAATTTGAACACATCTTATAAAATTTTTGCAATGGTAACACCTAATTTACCTTATTTTTATCTAATTTACCCTACTCGAAATTCTGGTAAATATCAACATTCGCTACCATATCGACATAATTTACTATTTTCCTCAATTTACCATCAATTTACTTCAACTCGCATACGACCTTAATGGTTTTGTCATAATTGTGAGACAATACTATGTTCAGCTATAGGGAAAATGGCCTTAATTTCGTTGAAACGAAGGCTAAAATTAAGCGACTATTCAACTGCAATTATGCGTAAGATAAATTTAAAGCAAAAGATAAAGTTGAGATAATGAAAAAGTGATATTTTCTTTTAAATGACTGTCAGTGACAGTTAAGTTTAATAAAACTGGGAAAATATTTTGAAAGTAGTGCAAATTTTTTAATTTGAATATAGAGAAAAAACTGTAACAAAATCAGAACAAAGAAGAACAAAATCATAAAATATTTTATATATCTGGTGACTTTTAAACGACACCTGTAAAAGTTTCAACTTCATCAGATATTTGGTAAGCTTTTTGCAAATAATTGAAATAGTGCACCTTGGTGATTTTTTAAAAAATGGAAAAAATTGAATATCGTTTAGTAACAAAGTTCCTACATTTAAAAGGAGTGAACAATGATGCAATTAAATGGGAAATAGATTCGGTTTAAAGCAACCTTGCACAATCGTTAATAGCAATAAAATATTGGAAAACTGAATTTAAACGTGGTCGTATGAATGTTTTTTTATGAAGAGCGTCCGATACACCATCTAGAAATAACAAAAAAACCCACGATATTGTTTTGGATGATCTAAAAATTAAATTGCCTGAAAGTGCATGAACGAACATTCGCAGGTAATCGTACCTGCAAAAGTTCGTTCATTCGCAAGCGTTTGTTTTGCTGTGGCTGCACCTCATATAAACGTGTATCGAATATTATACATTAATATTTGTGTATAAAAAAGCTTTCTGCAAGATGGGTGCTGCGTTTTCTCACATTTGATCAAAAACGACAACGACTTTGTCATTTAAAACTTTGTTTGGAAATGTTTATACACAATCTAGCTGACTGTGAGCGTAGAGTAGTGACAACTGATAGCATGTTTCATCAATCCATTACTTCACATCTGCGTAAAAACAAATGGAATAATATTCATAGACTATATGTAAAAAGGAAAAACAATAACAACTGAATACTATTGCATATTATTCGATCGATTGAATAAGAAAATCAAGAAAAAACGACCACATTTGCAAAATTGCAAAATTAAACGAATTACGGTACGAAACCTTCATCACCCACCATATTCTTTAGATTTAACTCTCGGGAACTATTACCTGTTTCCAAACTTGAGAAACAGGTACTCCAGAGAAAGAGATTTACATCAAATGATGAAGTGGAATGGAAAAATGAGGTAAATTAAATTATATTATTTAGAAAGTGTGCAAATGTTGAAAGATCGTTGGACTCGATATGTCAAGCTGAAAGAGCACTATATCGAAGCATGAAATATAATTTTCCAAAAAAAATGTGTTTTTATTACTTACGCCGGGTATTTATCAATTCACCTAGTATATCCTACTGACCAACTGATTCCAGTTTTTTATAGTTTATTTATAGTCAGTAAATATTATAAGCAAGTATAATAGTGCGTTTGCTGGTGCAACGCACTTGTGTATACACATTGTTAATCAAAGTTACGAGTAGCTCGTGAAAAAGACCTAATAAAATTGTATATATATACTAATATGATTTAAAATTGAAAATATTTTTAAGATTTTTCGCAATTCTATAAAAATGTGCGCAAAACGTGCATACGAAAAAAGCAATTGCTAAATAATAAAGTGGCAATCTGGCATCTCTAAAAAAATGACAACAGCAAAAAAGTTGTCGCGGCGATAGTGATGTTGATGAGATTAAATATCAAGTAATATCGCAGTAAATAAATAAATAAGATTATGTGCTTTTGTAAACAAAAATAAATAAATCGATCTTTATTCGAAGACAAAATTAATTAGCTATTTTTTGTGGAATCCAAAATTTTGTTAGAAAATGTTTCAAAGAAATAATTACAATAATATTTATTGTTAATTATTTCAATTATTGTTAATTTTGAAATCACTTAATACACTACGGAGGAACAAGTATTCAATGAAATGTTGTCCGTTTTGCAAGAGAAAAGGCCATTAAAAAAGGCACGTTTAGGACCACCAGACGTTTATCCACAAGATGCAAAACAAAGAGAAGATGAACTTACACCCGCAAATGTAAAACATGGGTTTTCGACTACATCACCACTTTCGGATGAATTTGGTACAGCGCATAATTCCAATGTCAATGCAAACAAAATGGGTGCATTTTTTAGTGCAATACTCGTCAAGAAAGAAGAACTCATGACGTTGCAAGATACAGGGAAAAAGAAACAACAACTCAATTGCAAAGATCATTTTTGGCCAGTGTCGCCTCGCAATAAAGTTGCTATGGATGCTTGGTTCAAGGATTTAGCTGGAAATAAACCACTGTTAAGTTTAGCAAAAAAAGTTCCATCTTTTAATAAGAAGGAGGATATTTTCATTACACTTTGTGACAACCAAGTCAATATGCAGCGTGCAACCTGGTTTATAAAATTAAGTGCTGTTTATGCTACATGCCTTACGGAATCGAAAAATAAAAAGCGCACTATATATGATCCAGTAAGTGACTGCACTAGTTATTTTATAAAATTTATGAAGGAATTATTACCGAAATTACAAGAGTACTATCAACAAAGTGAGTTAAATTTATTTAAATATTTGAAATAAAAATAAAGTTTTTATTTTACAGGTATAAGCGACAAAGCGTCTCATTGCAATAGCACGGGTCTAGCAACACAAAATTCAAGCACACATTCGAATAGTACTATACCAGTTCCTTCTATGGCCAGTCCAGTTTCTATGCATAGTCCAGCAAGTAGTCAGCAAAATTCTAACAACCATGGTGTACTAAGTGGGGGAACACCTGTGAACGCTTCAAGCACTCAAGGATCTGTTAATCTTGGCTTAACAGGCTCTTCAATTTCAGGAATAGGCAGTAATTTTGAAGATTGTCGAAATGCTTTAAAATACTGGAATTATTGCACTCAGCTCAGTAAATACATGCATGAAGAATCACTGTTGGATAGACAGGAATTTCTTTATTGGATACTTGAATTATTAGATAAAATGCGTACGCAAGCTTCATTTAACGAAGCATTGAAAAAGTTGGTACTTACTTTTGCTTTGCAATACATGCATGATTTTGTTCAGTCTGAGCGGCTTTGTCGTAAGCTAGCCTATATTGTTGCTAAAAAGCTTTCTAATCTGTTAAACGCAACTGTGGAACAGCAAAATAACAGTAAATCATTACAATCAAATTGTGTAGTAAACATGGAGGTGGATGACGATGAAAAAAAACGGAATACGATAGATCCCTATGAAACTGCGTTAAATGATTATATGAACTGCCCGCATCACCGTGATATAATCTTATATCTGAGTACAATATTACAGATTATCACAATTGAATGTCCAACAGCTATGGTTTGGTGTGGTATCGGGGACAATCGTGCACCATCAGCTTTGTGTGGTAGTCCTTTGGATAATTTACCCTTAGCTCCATCAGTTCTTCCTATGCCGTCTAAATGTGAATTGACTACAAACATTGAAATACGGCGACAACTACGTGCAGTAGAATCCGAAATTAGAGAACGTTCTAAACATGCTGAAAATCGTTGGTTTGCCGAGAAATGGTTAAAATCTAGTAATAATCCGTGCAACCATGTACTTTCAATTCTAGATCATTTAGATACCCATTGTTTTGAACGGATGGATCAAAGTAATTCAATTGAATCTCTTTATGCAAATATTTTTAAACCTTTTGTGACTGTGAAACGTGAAGTTGGTTCAAATGGAGAGGTAAAAGAAATACGTCAAGAATACGATGCTAAGGAAGATGCTAAAACAGTTAAAATACTCTGTGAATGGGCAGTATCTAATCAGAGGTAAAAAAGAATTTACAAACAATAATTCAAATTAAAGTTTATTTCTTTTGTAATGTGTTACAGATGGGGTGAACATCGGGCAATTGTAGTAGCAATATTGTTGGATAAAAGACAAATAGATGTCACTACACCTAATATTGAAAATGAACAATTTAATAATAATGGAAATATAAGTAATACAAATGAAGATAAAGATTCTGTTGCTTCGGGAGTTGGTTTAATAGGTGGATTACCCGTTTTTCAGTCAGTATTAATGGATTTTTTGGATCAAGACGCCCCAGTATTAGATGAAAATGGTTCCCTGCAAAATCGTACACAGTTCACCAATCTTGTTCATTTATTTAGCGCTTTGATACGCCATGATGTCTTTTCCCACAATGCTTATATGTACACACTAATCTCACGTGGAGACTTATTAACTGATGGTACTTCAAGTACAACAGCAAAGCCAATAAGCGGCACAAGTGGCACTGGTCCAGTATCAAATAAACCATCACCGCCGACTCACAATTTTGATGATGATTTCATGACTGGAATTGAGTATGATGATTCTAATGTGGACGATGATCTTGGAAAACTAGTGCAAACCATTAAAGAAAAAATTCCTGATCATACAAGTGCTGGTGGCAGTGAGCCTCCAATATCACGTCATTTTGTGTACACGAAACATTTTCCTATACCTCAAGATGATCCAACATCTCCGTACAGTAGTGAATCAAACCAGAGATATATACTGCTTTTTGGAGTTGGCAAAGAACGTGATGAGAAGAAACATGCTGTTAAGAAAATGTCTAAGGAAATTTGTAAGCTTTTCTCAAAAAAATTTAGTATTGATGTGGCAGAAGGAGGGAAAGTAAAGAAACATTCACGAAATGAGTTTAATTTTGAAGCTACAACTAGTAAATGTCAAAACATGGCATACTTTGATCAGCATGTAGTAACGTCGCAATGTGCTGCAACAGTACTTGAACAACTTAACAGTTTTGCACTTGGAAACAACAATTACTTGCCAGTTCAAGAGCACGTGGCTTTTTTATTTGATTTAATGGAAATGGCTCTTAACATTTATAGCTTGATAGAGCTTTGTGACCAGATTTTAAAAGAATTACCAGAAGTAGAAAATCAGTTGGTTGTCAAAAAGTCTAATTTAATTAGAAGTTACACAACATTATTGGGTTTATATATTGTAGGCATACTTCGGCGATATCATAGTTGCTTGCTATTATCTATAGAACAAACTGTTTCAATCTTTGAGGGACTATGCAAAATTATCAAACATGTTGGCAGTCCTAGTGAATGTAGCTCTGCCGAGCGTTGCATTCTTGCATATCTAAGTGACCTGCATGATTCATGTGTTATATTAAAGAGCAAAGAGCAGCAACCAGAATATTTTCAGCAGTTAAACGTTATTAAAAAGTTTAAAGAAATATTTGTTGCTCCAGAACAAATTAAGTAAGTCTATTTATAATATAAATGAGCTTAATTAACATTACTTATTTTAGCATTGTTCCACCAACATATAATCCACAATTCCTTCAAGAACTTTTTTCTTCTCCGAAACGTGGAGGTAAAATAGATCAATTATGGGTGCGACAACTCCATGAATCCCCAACAAACGTTTACAGTTTTGTTTCGAATGCATTTATTGCAGTATGCCGTGAATCAGACAATGATCGTTTAAATGATATAGCAATTTCATGTTCAGAACTGACTGCTAGTTGTAATGCATTATCTACGGAATGGATAGCAGCATTGCAGTGCATATGTAATTCAACAAAGAAACCACGCTATCCACATTTATTTGGGCAAATTGACATACACAACACCAGAATACATAATTCGTTGGCAGTATTTATGTGCATCTTAGTCGCGCGTCATTGTTTTCCACTGTCGGATTTCGTTGTCAAATTTGCTCTGCCGACTCTTGTTACAGCATGTGCAGAGACTACTGGAGATGCCGAAGCTGGAGCTCGTTTGACTTGTCATTTATTATTAAAGCTGTTTAAAACTATCGAAATACCACAACCTGGTTTATACTCTGTTAGTACATCACCAAATCCAATAAATGTAGTCAGCAATACAACTAACATAAAGTTAAGTTGTGATCGGCATTTGCTTGTTGGTGCACATAAAAATATTCCAGTGGAGGCAGTCTTAGCTGTGTTAAAAGCAATATTATATGTTGTTGACACAGCAGCTCTTAAGACCCCTACTTCAGTTACTGGTGCCGTTGCTTATTGCAGTGGCAAACGTAGTGGTTTCAATACTCCTGTCCATCCGGGAAGTACACCGAAGAGTAATGAACGACCCGTTGATTTAAGTCAAATATTAGGCACGAGTGATCTTAATAGTTTGGGTAATGATGATCAAGAAATGGCACAACAAAATTCATTATCAGCTAATTCTAATCAGGGGGAACAAATATCTTTGCTAGAGTTTGCACATCATGTACTTAAGCAAATCTGTGCTCAGGAACACGTTTTGGAAAGATGTTTAAAGCATGCTGAAAAATTGTGTGATTTCATTATTGATGATATGCTTACAACGAAGCAGGTACAACGTGTTTTACATATGA